TTTACAAAGTTTACAACACAGATACATGTTCTACGGTAGAGAGCTCTCTTACCTCGAATTAAATATGTTAAGCGCAGTGGTCCCACCACTTCAGGAGTACCTTCGGTCACCTCCTGGAAGTCGACTCGTATTAGAACGGCGTCGGATGCTACACGGTTGGCCACGGCCCTTGCCGAGATCGCCGCACCGTGAGCAGGGAACCGCACCCTTGTGCTTTCCCATCAAATCGCGGACCACTCGCACAATATACAATTTCAGGTACTCACAGGGATCACCCTGACCTGTCGGATCCTGGATCACCAGGCAAACTCACAAACTAATATCTCAAGGGATCACCCTTAGACTGCATTGATCGTTATTTCTACACTGAAATCTACACCGCGGTGTCACAGACAGAAGTGTCCTCGATCGGCTCGAGGAGCCGATTTTTATACCAAAAAGCACTGCCAGAGCCACACCAATACGATCACTCTAAACTAAAATCAATACTAGAGCCGCACCAATGCGGTCGTTTTACAATAAACAATTGCTCCTAGAACTTCGCCTATCAGAAGACAAGGCATTTGCAATACCTTAACAACCGATAACACGAAAACACATGGCCACCTGCGTGCGCCACTTCTATTAATTAACAAAATGATCATGATTGAATTCGCACTTGGATACGGCTTGGCATGCTCTGATCCCCTCTCTTCTTAGATACATTTCTAAAACGATCATTAAAGCGGAGAATCCGCGAACACACCGCCCGCCTTCGTCTCTCAGACGAACCGTTTCCATACAACTCATTCCTTTACATATCTTTATTGGCAGTATCGGATTTGGCAGAATTCTGCTCCACATACAAAGGGCATAATCGTGCTACATGCCTTCGCAAAATTGAGGTCGCTGTTTTGACAGTCACCACTCTTACACAACCGTCAGGCCCCAGGTGGACCTCGGTTACACGGCCCAAAGGCCATTTCGATGGCGGGTAGCGATCATCGCGTAATATAACCATTTGACCAACTGCGAAATTCTCCGTGGGTTCTCGCCACTTAGATCGCTCCTGCAAATGTTGCATATATTCTAGCGACCATCGTTTCCAAAAGTGAGTACGAATCGCCTGCAATAAATGATATCGTTCCAAACGATTATCCGGTATCTCCGGAGGTGCTGCATCAAGAATTACTTCTGTCGGTTCCCCAATTAAAAAATGCGCAGGTGTTAAAGCTTGAAGGTCCTCAACATCTCCCGTCAACGGACAGATAGGACGCGAGTTTAAACAAGACTCTATTTCGGCAAGCACCGTGGAAAATTCCTCAAAAGTCAACAACCTATCATTAAACGCACGCTTCAGATGGTGTTTGACCGACCTGACCCCGGCCTCCCACAGACCTCCATAATGAGGGGAATTCGGTGGGATAAATGTCCAAGATGTTCCCATACTCGCAAGGGGAGCAGCGGTACTGATATAAAATTCGGAACCAGCCTTAAACATTGACTGTAGCTCCTTGTCCGCTGGTTGAAAGGTGGTCGCATTATCAGAATACAGCTTCCTACACACACCACGTCGACTAATAAACCGTCTATACGCGTCTAGAAAAGTTCTGGTAGTGAGATCACTCACAGCCTCCAAATGAATTGCTCGCGTCACAAAACATACAAAAAGAGCAATATATCCTTTATATGACTTGTATCCGCGTCCCTTGGTGGTCCTGATCTGGAAGGGACCGGCATAATCTAACCCAGCCGATGAAAATGGCCGAGCAGGAGTAACACGGGAGGCTGGGAGATTTCCCATCATCTGATGAGCCAACCGTGGCTTGTTACGCTGACAAACGATACAATTTCGAATCGCGGTCCTAACTAGTCTATTGCGACCCAAAATCCACGCGTATCGTAGGACAGCATTGGANCTTGCACGGCTGAAGGAGATGCATCTTTTAATGGAAACCAATTTATTGTACGTTATTATTTTAATGATATACGATTTTTAACTCAATTTTTAATGACGATTTGATTATGCTTCATGTATGTCGATTTGCTTGATTACATTTTGAAATGACTGATCTTTTGGAACGGACAGCGGGTAGTCCGACCCGTACATTTGGTCCTCGATCTCTTGAGTTAGACAAAATTTCACTGGGGCTCCTCGAAGTCTCCGACGTTTACATGCTTTTAGTATAGGCTGGAAACTTGGTTTTCGGCCCTGGTCAAACTTACGGTCGGCTCGAAAAACGCCGCGCCGCACCGCAACGCACGCTCTGTGAGGATTGACCAACTCGTAAGTACTTGGCACGATTGAGCGATCAGAAACGGTGTACGAGCTTGGCCGAATTTTGCCGAATCGATCCGAACTTGATATGCTAGGATAGTTATTCACACGCTTCTAATCGAATTCTTTAGATGGAGTTCAGGCGAAACCAATTTCAATAAACTATAGCTGAAAATTTATAATAGACTTTGTAAGCAGATCCACCTATCGTTCATTAGGCAGTCATGTGTCTGTAGATAATACCATTTCTGTAACGAAAATAAAAAATTCTATATTGTCGACGCGTGTCAGAAAAGTCACGTGACTACCCTAGCCCCTTAATGCTAATGAGAGTTTGGAAGTTTTCTTCTGTTAGCGCAATAGGGGATCTGTCTAGTCCCTTCCTCTCTAGTTCCTTCAAGTGTTGAATGAAGTCACTGGGTTTTAGCAGGTATAGCGCGAGGGGCTATATTTATTAGATAAGAAATAAACAGGTGGACTTGTTACTGATGCAAAGATCATTTATTCATGATGGCCGAAGGCGCGAGCACGTGCGTGCGCGTAATGGCGAACCTCGTGTTCGCATGAACAAATATACTCGCCACTTATAACTAGCGGTTGTTGCGCGTTGTAAATTAAGATAAGAACGCGAAAAGAATGTCTTTAATGACAACTGTTAAGAACAATAATCCGCGAGAACGGATGCGCGTTTTAACTCCACGATGCTGTTGGATTTTCGGAGACTTGGAAACGCAGCTGAGCATTCATGCCTCAGTAGAACGACCGACTGTCGAAGACTGTGTTCGTAACGGAAGAGAAGTTTTAGCAGCTAGGCGGAAACCTAGACTGTCCAACGCAAGAGCGGCAAACTCCCTAGGAATGTTGGCGCAGCGACGCCACACAGGTGTGAGTGGATTATACCAGAGAGAAACTGAGAGTGCTCATGCCTTTGTTCTCTCGTAAGACCGCTTCGAAAGTGCTGCACCTTGCGGCCAACTGGGGAAGATGGTCCACCTTTAGCATGTAGCAGAACTGTTGATTGTACTTGTAAATTCGTTCTTCGCGCTCTTTTGTATCGCATGTTGTTGCGCATGACAGCGCTCGGCCAATGGGTCGAACCGATTGCATCACGAAGGTTCGAGCCTTGCCGATGATTTCACTCCTTCGTAACGATCCTTCGCGAGCACTGTCACGCTACTTTTCAATATAAAACGCATTCAGTCGACACGTCTTATTTCATTCAACCCAACAGGTTATGGGCCCAGAAAGTCGAAGTGTATTTTGAATTTTTGTTTTATATTAATATTTCGCTTATTGAGAAAGCGAGAAGTTTTCGCGTGCAAGATATTCAGTGTGTTCGTTCACGTAAGAGGCTGTTTAAGATGGCGGAAATGGATTTGAGGAACGTCGTGAAATTCGACGGACAAAATTTCCAAGCGTGGAAATTCCAGATGAAGACAGCGTTTATTGCCTTCGATCTTTTGGAAGTTGTCGAGGGAAGAGAGAAGAAACCAGAACCAGCAGCTGGCGAAACCGCGGAGGCACATGCCGTAAGAAGGCAGGCATGGATAAAGAAGGATGCAAAGGGCATGTTTATTTTGTCGTCCTCGATGAATCGGACACAACTCGATTACCTCGTCACGTGTTCATCTGCTCACGAAATGTGGACGAAACTTTCTGCAATCCATGAACAAAAGAGCGCCTCGAACACACTCGCCCTAACGACAAGATTCCACGAATTCCGGATGCAACCCGGAGATTCCGCAGTACAACATATTGCCAAAATAGAAAATATCGCGAACCAGTTGAAGGACATCGACGCAGCCGTGTCGGACGTGATGATAATGGCGAAAATCTTGAGCACGTTGCCAAGCAAGTTTGGACCTTTCGTTTCGGCCTGGGAAAGCGTACCTTTGGAGCATCAAACACTCAACAATTTGCGAGATCGCATATTACGAGAGGAAGCTCGCATGTCTTCTGCGGACGACGTAAGCAACGCCTTGGCCACAATGAGCATCATCAAGGATCAGAACAGGACCGATCATCGCAGCAGCGACAAAGCCAAACGCAGTAAGAAAACGATAACTTGTACTTTTTGTAAAAAGACGGGTCACGTCGCGAAGTATTGTTTCGCGAAAAAACGTTCAAAGAAAAATCCGAGCGACGATATTGGTCAACAAGATAACTCTAGTTCCGCGAATGTAACCGCTTTCGTTGTTTCTAAAAAGTCCGAAGTAAGAAGCATGCATGTCATGATCGCTGGACGCGACATGGCTTGGTTCCGCGGATCCGATGAAAAAGATTTTTGGATTCTTGATAGCGGCGCTTCTCGTCACATGTGTTGTCGCAGGGATTGGTTCGCGGAATTCAGGCCGTGCCGCGGCGAGTATGTTTACCTCGGAGACGAAACGAGTGCTAATGTCGAAGGTCGCGGAAAGGTGTTTATCAAGAGACTTGTAAACGGAATTTGGCTTGACGGCGTAGTCACCGATGTTTTGTACGTTCCATCGTTAAAAAAGAATTTGTTTTCTGCCGGCGTATGTACGACGAACAATCTTATAATATGTTTCGAACACGACTCGGCGAATATTTTGTCAAAAGACAAAAATATGATGGCGCAGGGCATAAAGCAATCGAATAATTTGATTCGCATGCTATTCAAATCGGGAATAAAATTTGAAGTAAATTACGCGAAAGCGTCTCTCCAAACATGGCATGAACGCCTCGGCCATGTGAATCATTTTTCGATAAAAAGACTAATAGAAAATAATGCAGTTCAGGGTATCTCTCTAACAGATAAAAAAGATTTCTTCTGTAAGGATTGTCCACTCGGAAAGCAATCCAAGTTACCTTTTAGCAAAATCGAGAAAAATACGAATGTCAAAGCAGGTGAAGTAATTCACACCGATCTTTGCGGTCCGATGGAAACTTCGTCCATTGGAGGTGCGAAATACTTCTTATTGTTTAAAGATGAATCGTCGGGATACCGTACTGTTTTTTTCTTAAAGCACAAAAACGACACATTCGATTTTTTGAAAAATTTTGTTAACGCGACGAAGAATCATTTTAGAGCAGATATAAAAATTATACGTTCCGATAATGGAACTGAATATAAT